TTCGCGCAAAAATTATTTCGCGGGCGCGGGAATTTTTATACAGTTTGAACTCTCTTAACCATCGTCCTACCAATACCATTCATACCCTGAATTCAATCTCAGACCTTTTCTCACCAAGTAAATTTTTGCGGGGGGACCACCAAAGAAAATTTCGCGCGCGCGCGAGGTCAAAATCGCGCGGGGCGGAACATGCCGTCCGCGCAAAACATGTTGCCGGGATCAAACTGCCAAATTCGCGCGCGGGAACACCAAAAAAGGCAAGTTTGCGGGGCGGGGTCAAAAGTTTGCGGGGCGGGAATAAATGTGCATCCGGACCGCCATACAATCCCATACATATTATATGCTACACAAATTAATCCGCAAGCAAGAGGAAAATCAAATACGAGAAAAACCCCTTCGGACTCGTCGACTCCATCCCGTCCTCGCTTTCATCGACCACAGCGGCAACCTCACCCTCCACACTACTCGAAGGCTCAGATCCCGCGCCCTCATCCGCCACAGCGTCAACCTCACCCTCCACACTCCCAGTCGAAGGCTCCGGTCCCGCTTCTGCGGTGATATTCGCCGGCGTCGGCGGCCTCAACCCTTTCGGCCTTCCACACCCCTCGCACCCAAACCCACCGGTACTCAAACTCGGCGGCAGATCCCCCGCCCCCGTGCCCCACGTGCTCCCATTACTCGCTCCCATCACCAGTTCCAGCACCCCGCCCTCGCTAAACAACTTGTGCGAGATCCAATTCTTGGTGTACGTCTCGCCGTTCAGTGTGGCGGACTGGATGTATTTGTTCTCAGCGGAGAAGTTGTGGGCGATGATGGTGGCGAGGGCGCCGGTGGCGTCGTTGCGGAGGGTGATCTTGGGGAAATAGGGCCGGTTGAGGAGGTAGGTGTCTTGCCCTGCGACGGGGTAGAATCCTGTATTTGATATTATAAGATGGACGCCAACAGAAGGGAGACAGGAAAAGTACGCACCGAAATGCGTCCACACAACGTACGCGCCCATCGAGCCCGAGTCGTCGTTCCCCGGGAGACCGTCGAACCTTGCGTTCAGCGCCAGTCAGCGGATGTTCTACTCGCCGTAAACTAACCGATTCACTCCGTGCTGTAATACTGCGCGAGCGACGCATCTACCCTGTCGACTGTTTTCGTCGGCTGCCCGACGTAGTTGTATAGGTACGTTGGCACTATTCAAATAAGTTCTGGTGAGTAACGCGAAAATTTGGTCGAAATTTGAAGAAGAGAAGACCCACGAAACCCCGGCTCGTCGCCCATGTCCTGCGACACAGAAGTTTGAATTAGAATGAATTCCCGGTGACCATATGGATCGACTAACATGGAATCCCGCCTCGAAGAATTTGTCCAACCGCGCGCTGCATAAGAAAATAATCAATTGTCAAAAATCCTTTCGGAACGCAACCAAAACCCCCCACCTAAACGTATCCGGCCCGCCCATAGCATGCACGACACTCGCCATATCGTGCGGGACGTAGAAGCTATATTCCCACGACGACGCCTCGTAGAACTCGCCCCCACCGAAGCCCTACCAACGCACTTGCATGAGCTCTATAACACGGGGATACCACGAAAAAAAAGAGGACACCACGAAAAAAAAAGAACAAAAACGCACCCCATAACAATCATTATGCCCGTACACCGGGCTACAATGGTCCGGCCGAAACACGCCCCCCTGATCGTAGCTGCTTAGGAACCACGACCCGTCCTTATTCCGCGGCTGGATGAACCCCTGGAACCCCGCGTGCGTGGCGTCGGGGTTCCAGATGTTCGCCCAGTCGCCGGAGACGTTGAAGTAGTGCTGCGTTATGTTGGCGGGGCGGGAGAGCCCCTGGGCGACGAGGGCGATGGAGAAGTCGTTGTAGGCGTATTCGAGGAGGCGGGAGGCGCTTCTGTGGTGGGAAGAATAGATAGGTATTAAGACCACTGCGCGGATGAAGAAGGGAGGGAAGGAAAAGGAAAGAAAGAAAGAAAGAAAGAAAGACGAGGTGTACCTGGTGTTGGCCCCCGGACTAGGCGGGTGGTCCGTATCCCACGCGGGCACATACCCGAGCTCCCTCCGCGAATTGATCCCCCCGCGGCCCTCGACCTCGAAGTCGCCCATCACCGTCGCGTCCTTGACCATCGCCTCGAAACCCGCGTCCCAGTCGATGCCTGCTTTTATACCCTTGCGTTGGCGTCAATTTGGAGTATACTTTACGAAAGGGGATGCACAGGAGGCGGAGCGACAGATAAGAACGCAGCGCACCTTGACGAATGAGTCCGAAAGCAGCGAATCCGCATTCGACCCGCCCTGCGTGAACCCCTTGTCCGTCGACATCCGGCAGTCGGGCAGCCACCCCGCGAACCTCCAGATATCAATCAGCGCACGCACGACCTCGGCCTGCACAGCAGGCGCGGTGATGGCGTAGAGCGGGTGGATGACGCGGAAGGTGTCCCAGATGCAGTAGAAGCTGTCGTAGTACGGCTCGCGCGACTCCCACCGCGGGTTGTCGCCGGTGAGATTTATGGGCGCGATGTATGCGCGGTAGAGCGAAGTCCAGAAGAGCTCCTGCGTGGAGGAGCTGACGCCTGTTGTATCGACCTTCACTGTGGATAAAACCGAATTCCATTTTGCCCTGGATACGTGCGTGAGCGCGCGCAGGTGGATGATATGGAAGAGAGAACGGGTACCTAGCAGCTCCGCGTACATCCTCGAACGCGGCTGTAGATATCTCGGGTATCTCCTCCTCCGCATACGCACACGCCCTAGCGGAGCTCGTGAAGGAGATGCCCATCCGCACGTAGAGCGTTCGCACGTCGTTCGAGTCGGCATTAGTGTCGGGCTCGGTGTGCGTTTCGACGGCGGACTGACGCTTCGAGGGAGAAGAAGGCGGAGGAGATGGAGATGGAGATGTTGGGAACCCCAAAAGAACCCCCGCAGGCCCGTGGTGGCCTATCTCCCTCTCGAACCCGCCCTCTGCACCCGTCCCATTTACCCCTCCCGTCCCTACACCCGCACTCGATTCAACCGCAGCACTCGAATTCAACTCGACATACTCCCTCACCCCGCTCGTCGTCTCGTAATACACCGCCTGGTTGAAAGAGAGGGGCACATCGAGGCAGTAAAAGACGCTGTAGTTGCCCTGCCCGAAGGAGGGGATGAAGGTTCCTGTGCCGGTCACGCGCGTCCCTGGGCCCGCGTTCGCTTTGGGGTTCGGGGTCGTAGAGTTGAACTTGGTGGAAGCGGAAGCAGAGGAGACAACGGACACGCGCCCGCCGCCGCGGTATCTTTGTTCGAGATCTATTGCGCGTTATTCGTTAATTCAAACCATGCCGCGAATAGAGGAGGGACGCACCACCGGTAGCGTCGAGCAGCAACACCATCTCCTCCGCATCCGCGGGGTAGGTAAATCGGTACAGAGCGGTATGCTCCGTCACCGTAGTCTCCGCGAGGACGCCGTTGTTGAGGGGGATGCGGACTAGAAAGGGATAAAATAGATAGATAAATCGTGTGCTGCAGAGAAGCGAAAGCAGAGCGCAGAGCAGTGATGCGTGCACGCCTCTGCACCGGATGGCTTGAGGCGCAGGGCTCACGATTCCCTCGTTCGGTTCAGAAAAAAACACTCACAGTATCCCGGTGACGCACTCGGTTCTCCATGGTCAATCGCTCGGGCGTTGCGGTCGGTGATGCATGTCGTGAGGTTATATTCGGGGCATTCGGCGCTGGTGAGGGGAAGAAAGGGGAAGTTGCCGAGGGAGGCACTTCCGCCTGTGCCGTCGTCGTGTCTATCGAATCCCGCTCAGTATCAGTACAATCGAATCTCAGACGAGGATGGAATGAAGTGAGAAGGTATGTACACGCGGCACGCACCCCGAAGAAAAGCCTGTTATAGGCGACCCGTCGCTGACATACCCCGCCTGGTCCTCGCCCGAGTGAGAATCCGGTCCCGCCTTGACGGCGCCCCAGGGCAGCGTCGCGCCCGGGAATACGTGGCCCCCGTTTTTCGTCCCGATGAAGGGGTTTACCCACCGCGCGGGGTCCGGGTCGGAATCTGAACCATCGAGATGTTGTGCAAGGGCGGCGACGAACAGGAAGGAGAAAAGAGCGAATGGCCGTCGAGTTTGCATGGAAGGGAAGATGGAATGAAGGAATGAAGGATGCGAGGCGTGACAATTCCGAGTCGGGTTGTTGCATGCTCCTTTAGTCTAAGTTTGCAAATTGAACGGAGAACAGATTCCCTATCAATTCCCGATCATTGTATGATACAGTGATCGGGTGTATCACTCGGCATTTCGGCTTGTTGAGTCTGTGACCCGACGTGAAACCAGAAATCTCAACAGAGGGATCAATGACAAAAGAACGAGATTGGAGGCGCCGACATAGGTGCGCCGTTTTCTTTCAGTCACCATGGTCACTGCAAGTCGTTCACGGGCCACCAGCCTCTCGGGCTCATCAGCCCGCGAAATGGCTTGGCACCTTTTCCCCTATAGGAGTGACATTCTCGGCGGCATCCTCGGCAGTAATGGCTAACCTTCCGTCCTGCGGCAATGTGGCTGAGTGCGGCCGTCCTTCATGAGCCCAGGAATCTCGACGATGTGGATGAAGAGAAGGTTGACGGTTCGTGGTTGAATTCGGCCACGTGGGATCTGCAACTGATCATTGATGGCCGAGATCATCGCCGCGAGATTACATTTTCTTGGCGCCAGGACAGACGGGGGGGTATGTGCGAGGATAGATGAAGTGCGATTAAATTGCTCGGCGACATACGCGTGAGAAGCCAGATTCTGGAAGCCTAAAGTCTCGGTTAGAAAAGTTACCTATTACGGATTCAACGCTGCCCAATTTCAGTACTGTCAATTACTTAGATGATTATATTTCTACAGGGCATCCCTACTTCCATTTCCGTAGCCTCCCCTCATCCCTGCCTCCGTTCAGCCCACCTATCATGGAAAACACCCGGGTCATCCGGCCAGCAAAAAAAAAAAGCCTGCTTTCCTGTTCATCCATGGCCAGACGCCGGGAATCGAACCCGGAGTTGCCTCAGTATTATGTTTCTGCGCGTCAGCTCCTACCTATTTTTATGAGAGGCCGTGTTTCGTTACACTACGTCTGGGTGCTGTATACTGGAACTGACCGGTCAAGCTGAACTTGACCAAGCGCATTCCCAGACCGGGCTCACGGATCTGAGCACAGAAAATGTAACCACAGGCACAGTTATGAAATTACACCCCGTGCCTCCGGCTTTCAGCAACGTATTGTTAGCAGAGCGAGGGAAAGAGATAAAGAGATAAGTGCCCAGGTTGGCATGATGACTGGGGGAAAAAGGACAACAGACGCCGGGAGTCGAACCCGGAGTTGCCTCATATTTCGTGGCATTCGACGAATTGCGAGAGGCCGTGTTTCGCTACACCACGTCTGACAAGCTCTTTGAACAGATTGTGGATGTTGTAGGCCAGTAAGTGTGAAGCCACTAAAGGCCGAGGAGACCGCAGACAAACCAAAAATATTTTGATGGTCTGTCTGCTCCCACCTACCCACCTCATCGATATCCAGCTAGCCATGCTCACAACCTCCCCCCCCCAAAAAAAAAAAAAAGGATCTGGGATATTTGGCAAGCTGAGACGCCGGGAGTCGAACCCAAGGCTTCCCCTTGATGACGTATATCCGAAGTACAGAACAGCAGGGGGTCGTGTTTCGGTACACCACGTCTGAGTACTGTACATTGGGACACACTAGTTAAACTCCCTGCTCTACCGTTTCCGCGCGCTCAAAAAATGTGGATCATGATCAAATCCTAGGCCAGAAAATTTGAACCAGGGTCACGGCTATGAAAGTTCGACTTCAAGCAGTGCAATCTCTCTCTGCTGAGAAAAGAGGTCATGCCCACGCTAACGCGAAGAATTAGAGAAAGAAAGAAAGAAAGATCCGTACCGAGGTTATCCGATACTCACACAGCGGGGGGTCGAACCTGGGATTGCCTCATCATGTGGACAGCTAATTGATTCATGGCAAAAAGAATTGCTAGGGTACAACGAATTTAGGCGCCGGGAGTCGAACCCAGTTACCTCGTAATATGCTCATTTGAGAGGGCGTGTTTCTCTACACTACGTCTGACTGATTTGTTTTCCACTCAACCCAACCACGCCAGACTCAATGACTTCAGAATGGGTTCGAGCACTGAGCCAGAGTCGGTCACTTGGAAACCAATGTCTAAAGCCTTCAGTGAGCAAGAAGGGAAAACGAGAAAGAGGGGGAAATGGCAGCAGCGAAGGCACTCCACGCAGAAAAAGGACCATGAACGCCGAACTACTCAGACGCCGGGAGTCGAACCCGCGTTTGCCTCAGGTGAACAAGGTAACCGGAGACGTCGTGCTTGGAATTTTGCTACAGATCTGATACAGCTCTTTGAACACAGCGGGGTGTTGTCAGGATAGGATAGATCTGGAATGTTTATCCCTAAATAGTAGTAATAATCTCGCTATGATCAGAACAACATATTATTATTTTTTCTTTCTTTCTTTCTTTCCATTGCCCCACTCTCTTTTATCTCATCCAAATCTCATCTACTAATCCTTCATCCTGATCTTTTGGACAGAAAGCAAGTCCTTGGCTTTCCTGATTCGCATTCGGTAAACAGGAATGATCCCCGCCAACGCATGGCGTTGTCCGTCCCGTTAGAAATACTAACGGGCGTCCTAGGGACAAGTCCAAGATGGTTTTCTGGCGAGGTTGTTTTCTCTTTCGGGCAGACAGTAAGCTTATATCATTCCACCTGGAACCTTCTACTGCGGAATACAACTATGAAAAGGTGGGGCAATGGCGATTCATCCAGAGTTCAAAATTTTTCTTAAAGAGCGGGAAAGTGCATAGCCAAGCGTTCTGCGCCACCTGATTTATTTGTTTCGAAGCTATGACACTCAACCTAGTTATTACACCAGAACAATTTTATCAACATGTAACGAGAGGGAGGAAAGTGGTTGTGAGAACAGTATTAAGTAGTGATTGATTTTGTCCGAAAACACGAAAGGAAAGGGAAAAGCTAGAGCTCGCTGGAGGGGAGAGCATCGTAGGTAGGACAGAGGCTGTCCCATTCAGCTGTGGGTGGGTACCATGAGTAAGTACCATGAACGTACCCAGGAGAAGCAAGTGACCACACGCACCGGGTATTGTAGCGTTGGTGATGGCGCCGGGGTCTTCCGCGAAGACGATTGCGAGGCCGCTGTACGGAATCAGGAGAGCTGGGCGGGAAGAAGAAGATAACGTACGCCTCCAAATGGAAGTCGATGTGGCTGAGGGAAATGATAATAGGTTAGGGCAGGGTGTGCAGAATGACCTTGAATATCTACCAATGCAAGATCCATCTGAAACCAGTCTGTTAGCGGAGTTTCATGTGCGGGTGGGCAGAGACTTACGGGCCAGGGTTATCTGTAACGAAACTGGATGGTAATACAGTGAGTTGGGCGAGATAAGGAAAGTCTAGAACACAGACCGAATGGTGGTATTATCGCTATAAGACAGTCAGATCCCGAGAAGATAATCCGGATGGGGGAACGTACGTTGTGTCCGAACCCGTGCTCACAACATCCCGAATTATCTGATATGGATATTGGAAATACGATCAATGGCGCTTGGGAAGCAACGCACCGGATCTACAAAGTTGTATGTCGCATTCCCCGCGCTTTTGATTACGAAGAAGTTGTGCTGCGTTGATCCGACTTAGTGCGCAAACTGACTTAGATATATGTTGGGGTCTCACCCCGTGCAAATGAAATGGATGCGGCGCGCCCGGTGTCCCACCGGGGATGGAGAGCTCGACCACGCTATTCGCGGGGAGCGTGAACACACTTCCGGCTGGGAGGAGATCAGTCGCAGATTGAGCCCCGCTGAGGATCTGCAGGAGAACAGGCACAGTAGGGGGCGTGAATGTCTGGCAATCTCCGTGAGCGGAGGGATTAGGCAAGGCGTGGAAAAGTATCACCGCCCCGTTGATATCGAAAGCAAAGACCGTGGTGTTCAGCGTGATGACCAAGTTCATGGTGACGTTCGCGCCACCAGCGACTGCAGTTCCGGGAACGGCCGTGGCGACGAGCGGGTGGAGGTCAGTCTCGACGAGGGGCGCGGTCGAGTTGGTGGCGTTCGTGGCCGGGTCAGTGTCGTTCGCACCCACATACCGGAGGATCGCAGAATTGATGCCATTGTCGAATCCTGTGGTTCCCCCATCGGCAACGGTGCGGATCCAGTAGTTGTCGACGGGCTGGTTGGCGGTCAGGATGAATGAGTAGCGTTGGCCCGCGACTGGGACAAGTCACGACAAATCAGCTCAATGAAGTAGCTCATGAAGTGAGAACGGCGCACAAATTTGGATTGAATCGACTGTGAGTGACTGGGTGTTAACGCCGTCGGCCTCGATGATGGTCATGTTGTGCCCATCGATGGTGAAGATGAAATTGGGGTCTGCTCGGAAATTAAATATGCATCGACTCGCAGGGAGAAACAGCTCACCACAGGATATGGAGACAAGACGCATCCTGAGGAGAAGATGGGTAATGAAATGAAAAATCGTGCAAAGTTGCGCACCGATACCGCTGGCCAGAGGTCACACCAACTACGGCCAGTTGTGATGTTGGCTTAAAAGAGAAAGTTAGTCTGTGCTCGGTTTGTTCAGGGGATTCGTACACCGCCGGCATAACGGCCTAGAAACGTGTTAATTGGGAAACGATTAAGCATGCTGACCGACCATACCGAGTCCATTTATGAGCGTGGAAATGAGTGTCTGCGAATCCCGTTCAATCAACGCTACCACTTGGCAGCGGCGAGGGACTTACCGGAATGTTTCCGAGCGTGCTTGCAGGGCCGTGGTCTAAATAAGCTCCAGTCAATCAAGCTGCCAGTGCATTTCCTCAAAATCCTTACACCTAGAAATATTTAGACAAATTCATTCGGGAGAGAAAATGAAGCTGACCAGTCGGCAAGGGTGATCACGGTGGTCTCTGATGGGTTGTACTTAAGAACATCAAAGGGTGAACGGGGGAGAGATGACTGACCATTGTCGACGTCTAAAATAGCATTGAATTATTCGGATCCATGCAAAGTACTGAGACGTACCGTAGAGATCGGCGTTCGGGTCGTCGGGGTCATAAACAACGAGAGGTCCCCTCAGTCCGTCGCAATACTGAGTAGCTATCGGGATGCGTGAGATGACGGAATGGAAGCCAGATTGGATCACGTACCGAGATGGCTGTGATCTACGCAGAGTAAAGTCGAGAAACACCAGACAGTTGGATCTGTACTTACACCTATGGAGTCGGTCAGATATAGAAGCGGAGGAAAGAGAGGAGTACAAAAACTAACCAGAATGTGCCAGTTTGGTTATTCTGTATGATGCTATGAGATGGAGACAGACTTAAGTGGCGGAAAATACATGCCGTCGGGAATGTGTAGAGGAAAGAATTGTTGACTGCGATCGGGCATTGAGTAACAAAAGCGGGACCGTCGGCCCTGGGATGCCCTCAGTGAGACTGAATTTTTGCGAGTTTCTTCGCGACCTTACCATGAATTATTCGGCTGAAAGAAGCCGTGCCAGTGCTAGGGAATCAATTAGCCGAGGCATTGCAGTAGCAAGACCCGGGACATACGATGCTGGTGCTGAGGAGCATTGTCTCGTTCGTCAATTGGTCGATAACGTTCAAATTGAACTCGTCGCCTTTGTTGGCCGTGATGAGGGGACCTGGAGCCTGCCCGTTGACTAGGACAGCTCTAAAATGGTTTTCTTTTCAGCCCCCGCTCCATAGAAAATATGATAACGAGGACGACCCACTGCCGAGTAAAGCCATCTGGTGCAACGTCGCCGTTGGTCAAATTTAAATCCGCTGTCGGCCCAATCGAGGCGAGGACGGTGGAAATCAAACAAGACGCGAGGAAGAGGGAAGGAAAAGGCATGAAGAAATGGGGGATTGGGTTATGGATTCTGAGAGCATACCAGTTACTTTTATGTATGCACGGGGAATTAAGTCCGCAGTAGCGAGTCAAACGCTAGCGCCAGGCGGTGCCAACGAAGGAGTTGAAGGCATCAAGCGGAGGTAAATGGACGCGCGACCAGTCGGACGGATAATT